ATGCTGTCTTTTGAGCTGACCCAGTTAACTCAAGTTAACTTAATATTCTGTTTAGCAGAATGCATCTTCTCATATTCTGTCTCCACGTGTGGAAGAGTTTTCCTTAAATTATGGGATGTGGCTACAGCTGCTATAACAACCCACTCCTTTGCTTTTTTTCTGTGACATTTGAAGGTACTAAAAAAATTGATGGAAAAACGAGATTTAAAAAAGTAAGTTTATTTTGGTTCATAGGATGTTTGAAATCCGCACATCTTTAGAAAGAAATAATACGTACTTTCCACGAACTTTTTGAAGACCAACATTGCTTATTCGAACTGCATGAGGATGCAGCTTCTGTTTGAGGACAAATAAAAGTCCTCTGAAAGAAGTGAAAGGTTAGAAGGGTGCTTTGGAATATGAAGAAAAGTCCTCACTGGGGAACATTTAATCATGAGTAGCTTATCCTCCTTAAAGGGAATGTAGTGTGTTTGCATCATTCTCCTTGACAGTTAACCTTTTATATTTTATGCTCATGACATTTCTGTCAAGCACTCAGTGTGTTCCAGTTAAAGTCAGAGGTCTCTGGACCCAATTCAAGCAGCAGACAGTGTCTGGAGGGGAGCCTGATGCAAGGTCTTTTGGTGGAGGGCAGTCATGGAGAACAACGGGGCTGCTGGAGAAGGAAGACAAGCCCAGATGGGAACAAACTGTTGAAGGATAGCTCCTCTGGACACTTCTTGGGGCTGTTGTTTTGGGTGTGGAATGTTCAAAGGAGGAAAGCAATGGCAATGTCAGAGCAAGATTTTTAAATATTTATTTGTGCACAGGGATAGTTGGACTGAGCAATTCGTGTCCTTGTGTCTAAATCAAATAGCAAATTGTTCAGTAAGCACACGAATAGTAGGAGGCAAACTGAGACCCTAAACAAAGTAATTCATAAGGATACATTCAATAGTAGCTTTCCTCACATTTCCTCCTAAGGTATTTATCAGTGCACCTGTCAAAGTACTGCGTGATATTCCTCCTATGTTATGAATGTGACTCAGGGACAGAAATCTTACAAACCCACTTAGCTGCTGAAATGTTTCCTGTCTTTGGGAGAAAAGAAATGAACAAATGAAGGTGCTTTGCGTAAAGGTATGTTTTAGTCAAGGAACCTTTTGAGTGTTTTACATATGCTGAATATTCAAGTGAATACTTACACAAAATGGTGCATTTAAAGTGAAGTTAAAAAAAGAAGAGGTAGAGTGTATTAAATTTAATTTTTATAAAGTTTTTCTATAGGATCTGAGATGTGAATTTTTTTATACCTAGAACTTTTAGTCATGTTTTAAACCTAGGCTCTTAATTTTTTAATTGTATGACTTGGAGTGTGTTAGTCCCTGTAATAGTCATTTTTCTTATGTGTTAAAGGTCACCTACCCCATAGGATGAGAATTTAATGAAATCACAAATAAGGAGGACTTATCAGGGTGTCAGGTGCACATCTTCTATACATAGTAAGTATAATCTTTACATTTAGAAATTTTGTAATTTAATCTGCATTAAATCTCATTATTAACATTTTAGCTTTTAAGCCACAAAGAATTCTATAACTATTCCTGAATAGAAAGAATCTTAATTGATGATATCCTCAGCTTGCCCTCAAGAACAACAGTGTTTAACCTGGGTAAAAGTTCAGGCCATGTCCTTCATGTAAGCATTTTAGACCTTAACAGGAATCAGTATTTAGCTATGTGTCAGGCACTCGAAGTTTTTCTTTCCCCAGCATCCCCTGAAGTGTCTATAATTATCTTACTGGTACTGACCAGGAGACTGAGGTTCAGAGAACTGGAGGGACCCGGCCAACTTCCTATAAGCCATGGTCAACAGAACAAGCAATTTGGCATGTTCATTAACTGTCTCACAGAACCATGGACACAGAAGGAATGAGATGTTCAAGGGCGAAGTCTACTCTACTGTGGACCCCGAGGTAATGGCAATGTTTCTATTTTGATATTCCCATTAAACTTATCCTCTAGCTCAGAAGCTTGGCAGGATGGCAAATGTCACCCTTGAGCAGGCACCTAAGTCAGGGGATAAATCACATTCAGAGTTTGGTTACTTTCCCCGTGCTTTGTCTAGTTCAACTACATCAGTTGGTGTGACTGCTATTCAGCATGAACAAGAAATGATGCTTATTTCGCGGGCAATAAAAGCTTCTTAAGCACTGTGGGTAGTTGTTTTGGAGAGATTGAATTAGAAAATCTGCCCCGATTATGTAGTAATTTTAGAAATGTGTTAAAGGAGAATGTTCAGTTAACAGATAAAGCTGCTTTGGCAATGTGATTTCTATAGTGTGGCGCTTCTGCAAGGGCTTCTTAGTACAGACAAGGCACACATATTTTTAATCAGATAAACATACTTCTTGACCATGAGGGCATAAACTCTTTACCAATTCTTTGTAAATACATCTTTTCCCCCTTAGGTCCATTCCTTAAACAAAGTAGTTTGCTGATTATTAGAGATGATGCTTGTCTACAGTAGGGATTTTGTTACCTATAGAAAATTTATATCTATAGCTGTCTTTTTGTTTTCCACCTGAATGGCAACAAACACGACTTGCTTTGAGATCCGTGTTTATCTACCTTTTCTTGGCTCTATGTCTTAATGAAGTGCCTTAGCTAACTGTGAAATGAGTTAATGCTTTTAGTATTTCTGTGAGCATTAAATCATTTCATATAAGTGCTATAAATTATGCAAGTCTTCACAAATGATCTATACTGTGATTCTTATTTAGATTTATGAACTAAAATTATTTGATGTTCATTCGTGGGATAGCATCCTGAAGGTCTGAACTATTGCTGTAATGAGATGCTGGAAATGTGGTAACGAATGGATGTGTAACTGGTAGTTTAGCAAAGAGAACTGCTGGACATGGAAGAGGATCTGGAGTGGTGGGAACTGTTTGGAGAAAGGAGTACCAAGGGCAAGTTCATGCATAAGAGCCCTCCCAAAGTAGGAGATTTCTCTCCAGCCCACACAGGTTGTTGTGTGCTGTCATGTTCTAGTCAGAGTAGGGCAATCAGAAGAATCAATCCTGGATCATTCCTAGTTGTGTGAATTCCTTAATTCCTTTGAAAAAAAAAGTGAAGATAATATAACCTATCCCACAGGGTTGGGAAGATTAAATGGGACTAGGTGTGTAAAGTGTAGGGTAATATGGCCCTTGAATATATCCTTTTTTTGTTTTTGGTCAGACAGAGGTCTACCAAGACAAGCCAGGATCACTACTGCTAAGATGTCTGTACTTCTCAGATCATTCAGGCAAGGTCTGAAAGCAATCAGTAGAGTCCTCATAAGCACTTTGGGATTACTCAGAATGCTGTCCAAAATTGTTAATAGAGTTTGAGTATATGTAGCTACTTCAGTTATCAGGTACAGGCAAAATTGTAGGTGTTCAGTGTGTGGAAAGACTTTAAAAGGAGGCTCACAGGGGAACAGGAAGGGACTGTGCAGGGCGGGGGAGGGATTTGCAGGGATTTAAGTCAGAACTCCTTCAGAGATAATGGTTCTGGGCTGAGGAACGAGAAAAGTAAACATCAGCTTAAGCCAGACAAAATAACGGAATTTTCCAAATTTTTGGAATTGATTCATTGGGTTAAGTGCTTATTACCTGATATTTGGACAACTGATATAATTGCCCAAGACTTTTTTTATTTTAAAATCATTTCTAAAAAGGTAGCTGCTGGTAATTTTAGTTATTAAATACACAAGTGCATGCAATGAAGCAACTAAAATTGAAATTATTTGAAATAAGAAAACTCGTTCCACCCATGAGGTCAAATTTAGCCCCAATGTGATTTTTTTTGTATAATATGGAATGTATGGATGACATACTGTAGCAGAACTATTGAATTCATTTTCAAGATCATTTTTAAAAGGCTTCAGTAGAGATAAAGTAAGTTAAGTTTTGAAAATCACCTGTATTTCAAAGATGGGTAGATTTTACACTATCATCATGATTGTCTTCTAAGAAATTCCATTGTGTCTTTTCCATATCCATTTTTTACATGCTATTTTTTGTTGGTATGCTAATAGTACCATTTCAGGTTTCAAGTTCCCTGTTCTTTAAGTACTTCATTTCATTTGAATCAAGATAATTTAAAAAGTTTACTTGTTACCCCTGGAGGTCGCTTGCCTTTACTGATTGTGTAGGATGTGCAGAAAAGGACAATGGTATAAGCTGAGCACTTCTGATTAAATGATCGAGGGGACAGGAGAAAGGAAATGTTGGCTAAGTATCCCTAGGATATCCCCTCTTATCAGGTGTCATGGTTGTGACTGGAAAGAGTGTGGGAGGGATGAGAGCAGGAAGGACAAAATGAACACAACTGCAGACCTGTCACCTGTCCTGAGGTAAGACAGAAAGCTGGGCTGTAGGACTGTGTGTGCCTGTCAAGTCCCAGGAATGCCTCATAGTTTAGGATATATATTCCAACATTCTCAACAATACTAATAGATATTATGTGGGAAATATGTTTAGAGAATTACTGAGAAGTGAAGACATGTTGCAGTGCACATCTGCTCTCCAGAATAGAAGAAAGAATCCCACTGAGACTGTTAAATATATCTTGACAATGGGAAGCAGGCCTTTCTACCATTGTCTATCCCTACGATGTCATGATACACTTACATAGCAGAGTGACGGACTTGTGACTGTTACTGAAAGATTATACTATCGTATTTATATAGGGGAAAGCAGTGGGTGGGAGGATGAATGTGGTGGGTGGAAAGGAAAATTCCTGAGCCCATGGACATGTGTCTTCAAAAATAAAAATTAAAAAAAGATAATGATGTATACTTTAAAAACAAATTTAATGCATGTTCAGATGATGCTTACAGTCAAATTTCTGGTGTTACTTTCTAATATATTTCTCTAACATTTTTTGGCAATCCAAATGAAAGATCACCTTGCACCTTTGAAAATGAGGACGGCTCCTTTACTTACAGCGTGGAGTGTAGCAGTGAGGCCATACCTGTGGATGCTTTGTTCTAGAATCTGGATCTGGTACTGGTCCTGTTGATTTTGCTTCTTCATCTCTTCTTGTTCTTTTCCACTGCTGATTCCATCCAGAAGCCATTTCTCCCTCAAGGCCTTTTTCTGAAGTAGGAAAATATCAAGATGTTCTCTATGTATATATAACCCATATCAAGGTGTCTCAAGTGGCATTTTAATTGTGACACAAACATCTGCCCATATCTTATGGTTTAAATAAAGTTAAAGCACTTTGAAGCCATTTTGATAATTATTCCCATGATTGCATAGATGACTACTCTAAAAAATATTTTGTGGGAGTAATTGGGGTGGTGAGCAAAACAGAAGTTTGGTATCATGTCTTAAGTTAATTTGACTTTTGTATTAGACTATATGGTAGACATTTATTGCTTTGCTTAACCAGCACCCTTTCTTTCTTCCAGGAGTGTTGCTGGCTCTGTGCAGTGTTGATCTGAACTTCATCACAGTTCAATGATAAAATGCACAAAATTCACCGATCTGTATACACATGGAGGAGTTGAATTTTGTCAACTTTGACAACACAAAAAAGACTTATTTTTATCATATGGCAGAAAGATACTCTTGAATTTGCATGAATGAGTTAAATTTCTGGACTTGAGTCCAAGACAACGTAAATGAGTGACAGCTTTAGTTAACCTACAGTCTGTGTATCAAGTAGAAACTGTCACATATGTGATTCTTTTTTTCTCCAGGAGTTTAAATTTCTTCTGTCCTGCGGAAAGGCTATCATTTTGTTACCTATTTTCTCTGTATAAATTATTTGTCCAGCTATTCACTGTTAATTATTCATTGGGGTTCACTCTGTCTAAAATGATGATGAAAGAGTAGGAACTTTTTTTGTTAAACTTGTTTTTCTTATCGTGAAGTTAACATTGGAAAAAAAAAACCTTTTGTCTTTTCTTAAGAAGAAAGTTATAATTAAAACTATAATACAGTTTAACTTACTCTTGGTTGTGCTAAGTAATTCCCAAGGAATAATTATTTTAACTAAGGCAATGATTAAAGAATACATTAAATGGAACTACAATTTTTAGAACAAAAACAATGTGCACAAATCTATTTCAAGCAGAGAGGAATCAGGAAGCTCATAGCTACACAGACTATGACTTCGAAAAGCACTGGATTAAGTGAATAACAATAGCACCCAGATCATTGTACTTGTGTTGGCCTTTTCAGAACCTTAAGCAATTGTGTGTACATAGCACACATATCTAGAGCATCTGATATTCTGCTCTGTGGCTGGAGATTACTTCCCCCAGTGTTATCCTAACCATTTGTGACAGTTGAAAATGTATTTTCCCATAGACCTAGTAAATATTACTGATATGGTTTAAGACTCAGCTCCTGAGGTCAAAGATGTCAAGGAAATCTATGTGTTGTCAGTGCTTTAAGTTATAAGCACCTTTTTTTAAAAAAAGATTTATTTATTTTTTATTACAAAGTCAGATATAGAAAGGAGGAGGAGAGACAGAGAGCAAGATCTTCCATCCGATGATTCACTCCCCAAGTGAGCACAATGGCTGATGCTATGCTGATCCGAAGCCAGGAGCCAGGAACTTCTTCCAGGTCTCCCACGCGGGTGCAGGGTCCCAAAGCTTTGGGCCGTCCTCGACTGCTTTCCCGGGCCACAAGCAGGGAGCTGGATGGGAAGTGGAGCTGCCGGGATTAGAACCGGTGGCCATATGGGATCCCGGCGTGTTCAAGGTGAGGACTTTAGGCTAGGCCACGCTGCTGGGCCCTATAAGCGCTTTTGTGTTGATTTTCATCTACTTTTATTTGAGGGAATTTGAAGATACGCAATGCATAGTAAGGAAGACACCAACCAAAGCAGAGGATGTTTCTTGCAGATCATTGTAGGTATAGTTCTAGTCAGTATATATCTTTATAAAACACGTACTTGGGATGATCTCATTTGGAGTTAAAGGGAACAGAAAATCATTTCTGAGATATGACTGATATGTTTCTAGGTATGGATAAGAAGAATTTTGATTTCTGTCCTATAAAAATTTGTTCACTCTTCACAAATGATCATTTGCCATTGATGTAGACCTCTTCGAATTTAAATAAATATACAGTTTGGTTGTGCAATCAAAATAATTAGGCATAACCACATATTGTAGTAATATAAACAAGGCTGTTTTGTTTTTATGGCACAGTGTAGACTTGTGCTTTGGCACATATTGTTAATGAACATAATAAAATATATTCCACAACAGTGAAATTCAGAGTCAAAAGCCATATGGACTAGATGAAAATACAAATGATGTGCAGGGATGGGGGTTTCGCCCAGAGGTTAAAGCGTCGGTTGTGATCCTTGCATCCCATATCCAGGTGCCTCAGTTGGAGTTCTGGCACTACTGCTGAATCCAGATTTCTGCTAGTGTGTGTGCTGAGGGGTGGCAGGTGATGGCTAAAGTAGTTAACTGAGCGCCTGGCTCCTGACTTTGTTATGGTTCAGCCCTGGTCACTGCAAGCATTTAATGGAGTGCATCAGTGGATGGGAGCTCTTTCTGTCCAACTCTCTGACTCTGCCTTTGAGGTTTTCAAATAAATAATTCAGATCAATGAGTTCAATGGATTTATGGAAAAGAAAACTTTCTAGATTGAGTGTATTTTGTGTACTTGTGGCATGAGATGGTAGTCATACCACTAGGCAGATTGTACCATTGCGTACAAATCCAGAATTGTTTGAATACTAGAATGTTAGTAATGTCCCTGGAAACTCCCTTGAATACGTGCCATGGGTATGATCATCAGCTCAGGAGATAAAGCTAAGAGAGTGTTCAGGTAATAATCTTGAAATACGAATACATTAATACAAGGAGAGCACTTTGTCAATGTTTGTGCCTGTGCTGTTTTGTATGTGTCACTGAAGTGTAATGAAATCATGTGCCGCTGGGGAAGTAGTGAGAACAGTCATGGGATCCTTCCAAGACAAATGGATAGGAGAAAATGAGACAAGCTGGTAGCTGTAGAGGCCAAAAGCGCTCTCTTGACTTGGTGAACATGTTGTAAAATTGATTTTTAAAATATGTTTGCACATTTTTGAACTCCATTTTGGACTTACGCCTTGCTGTTATTTAGTGTGGCCAACTATTTTCTGCAACACTTGCTAGAATGTTCTCTGTTGAGACGGCTACTCTTCCCGCTGTGTTCCCCTTGCGGTTTATGCCTCTCTTACAAGTAATGTTCACTATAGGACAAATGTCATTGTATTTATTTTTCTCGTGTCATTTTAAAGGTACAGGCCAATTTTATTTATTTATTTATTGTTAAATTTTGTGGTGTCCAGTTTAGTTCCTTGCAAATAAGAAGAGCTTAACAAATGTTTATTTACTGAAAGGGTCTGTGTATACCCTTATAAGTCCTATCTATCAGGGGCAGGCATTGTGGTGCCGCATGTTAAGCCTCTGCTTGCCAGGCTGAAATCCCATTTTGGAATATTGATTCAAGTTCTGGCTGCTGTGCTTCTGGTCCAGCTGCCTGTTAAGGCACCTGGGTAAAACATGGAAAAAAGCCCCAAGGCCCTGTGTCCCTGCCACCCACATGGGGGACTTTGATCTGTTCTTGACTCCTGGTTCTAGTCTGGTTCAGGCCTGACTGTTGCAGGTATCTGGGTAGTGAAATAATGGATGGAAGATTGCCCCATCTGTTTGTGTCAGTTTCTTGCCCAACCGTGCCTTTTCAATGAATAAATAAATCCTTTAAATTTTTTGACATGTCAGTTAAAACTCAGTTTAAATTTTTCACCTTTAATAGAACCTTAATACTTATATTCTAACTTAAAAAATATCAACGCACAAAAATATCACCCAAATTAAAACCCAATGCATAATACTGTTTTAATTGAACTTGTCTTAAAGTTTTAATATTGAATTTCTCTAATTAGGGAAAGATGCCGTTCCTTTTCTCTTCCTCCAGTCTCACACTGTTTTAGTATATATGCTGCTGAAGTGAGCACGACACACACTGTTTTGATTAGTTCATATCTTGGAAAACTGTGTAATGCTTTGTGCAAATAAATGGAAATCTCTTTCTTTAAATACAAGCATTCCTGGGCTCAGTGTAGAGCTGGCAAGGCAATGTGGGCAGGGCCTTAGTACCCATTTAAAGAACCTTTGTGTCGTGCACAGACTGCACAATTGTGTGCATCAGTCCAGGGTATTAGTTCGAGGTGTGGTGGGCTTGTGTTGTGACACAGAGTTTAAGCCATTGTGTTGTGACACAGAGTTAAGCCATACTTCCTGCAATGGAAGTATCTCATATGAGGGCCATTTCACATTGCAGCTGCTCTATTTCCAATCCAGTTTTCCGCTCATGTGTCTTGGAAAGCAACAGAAGACGGCCTGAGTTCTTTGGCCCTTTCCACCCATGGAGGCGTCCTGGAAATAGTACTTGCCTTCTAGCTTAAGACTGGCCCACTGTGGCTATCTGAGGAGTGAATCAGCAAATGGAATTTCTTTCCCTCTCTCTCTCAGCTACCTTTCAAATAAATAAATAAATCCTTAAACAAAGAAGCAAGCATCAAAATTGCTTTTGGCAGGATTGGGTTAGAAGAAGCTTCTTGGTTCCGGAAAGCAGACTGCTGAATTTCTACCTGGAGTATTTTTGGCAAGAAATGAGGGGCCGCCACAGAAATGGACCTTTCAGGAGGCAACTTGCTTCCTCAAGTAAACTGAGAGCTTATTTAAACTCCTTCCTGTGCTGTGAGCTCCATGGTTATTTGGCTATCCATTCTGCAAGGACAGCAATTGCTGAATGCTAGTGAGCTATCAGTTTTCTCAGAAGCAGGACTTAGTTCACTATGAGATCCAAAATGTGTACAAAGTGTGTGTGTGGAAAAGAAAGAGAGAGAGCGAGAGCGAGTGAGAGAGAGAGAATGCAAAAAGCATTGGTTTTGAAGTTACAACAAATCTATCTTAAAAATCGTTCTTATTATTGGCCCATTAACAGGGAACTGGATTGAAAGTAGAGCAACTGGGATTCAGACCAACATCCATGGAGGATTTCAATGTTGCAGGCCATGGCTTTAGCTACTAGGCCATAACAGCAGCACCTCGTTGCTCATTTCTGAGAGAGGGTCAGCAGGATGTGCTCCCTGAAGTCACTGTGCTTTGTATCCTTGGGCTATGGATGGCCTGGTCAGTGCTCAGCACTCTGCATGGCCTCCTTGGATCCTCTCTCACAGCACAAATATGAACAGGACTTGGGAAAATGGAAACACAGGCAGAGAGAAAGGCACACAGAATCAATCACTGTGATGGGTACAGACTGGAATGTGGAGCCCTGAGAAATTAAACAAAACACTCTTTCCAGGAAGCCTAGCTGAGTAGCTACAAACATTGTTGTTTTTTTTTTTAATTATTTTATTTTCCACAATATGCTTTTGTAGGAATAGGAGTTCATCTGTCCTCTTTTCCTTCCATCCTCCCCATGTTTCTCTTATCATTTTTTCTCCCATAGTATAACAATAATTTAGTCTCTACATGCCAGTTAGAAGTTTAACTCTTTGACATTTAAATGTATCATGACAAAATAAGTTAGGGCAAGGTAGAAAACCTAGTATCATATTTTATTCCTTTTACATGTTTTTGTGGAGAGAACATATAGCGTCAGTCCTTTGGGTACTGGTACAAACATTGTTTTTACCTCCTAATGCTACTTAGTGTTTCACTGACTGAGCTAACTCAAGTATATAGTATTTCAAACAGAGAAAGCCCAACACAGCATTAAAACTTTGTTATACTTGTCCACTACATAATTGTCCATTGGAAAAAGTTGAATAATTTATTTAGCGTATTCCAAGTTTTAAATTCATTACCCAAACCTCAAACCTCAATACTCATCCCTACACAGTTATTTTATACTTGTTTTTTTTTCTTAAGTTCCTAAAAGTTGTGAGTTATTGTTATGGTAATTTCTACAGTAAATAAACACAATGTCTTTTAAAATAAGCTCTAATTTCATTTGAATTACATCGAAACAATTGGTAAACTTGTTTTTATTTCAGTTATTTTCTGGAAATGCACACTGCATTTCTTGTGTATGTCAGATATTCAAGTAAATGCAATGTGACACATTGTCAGGATTACAGGGCAATGACAACTTGAAACTATCCATCAAACCTTGCAAATGTCAACCTGAATATGAATAAAGAAGCCCACAGAATCCAGGAACTGAGATTAGTTGGAATCTTATTATAGTTCTTTTCAGAGGTGGTTACTTGTTCCATTAAAAAATGGGTTCTGTTAAATTTGGAAAGTCTAACTTGGTAGACCCCATGATTAGGCAGCATTGTCTCACTGTGGGGATTCATTAAGATTGTAGATAGCATCCTGCCCTGACAGATAAGTACAGTCTCCTGCAGGGGCCTGTTCACAGGGCACTCCTGTTTGTCATTTGCTTGCATCCTGTGACTAAGTCACGCAATAAAATGTTGAAAGTCAATGTGCTTTAATTACAAAATGACCACACCCGGGGAAAGATGTAAAGTCTGATTTTAAAAATGGAGATTTATTTCTGGTTATGATCTCATGTTCTGTCAAAGCAAAACAAAACAGAAACCCGAGCCGTACTCAAACAACTTTGGATTCATTGCGCTGAGTTTTTAAATACAACCATCCTTGACCAGGCCAGACACTAGACACTGTCTGTTCGGCACCCTTAGGGAATGGCTGGCCTTTCATTGATTTCAAAGGCAACTGCTTAGCTGGATCCATTCCCTTGGGATATTAAGCAAGACTGTATTCAAGGCCAAATTCTTAAGGCTGAATTCTCAAGGTTACCCAAGAAAATTAGGAAATCAGTAATAAGCGATAAAAATAATAAAATCATATTTTTAACTTTCCAAGTTTGCCAGAAGGCAGTCATTTCATATGTAAACATTACTGGCTTGTTGGCCTCCCCTATGGTTATTAAAATGCTGGTGAAACTTGGTTGGAATTTTTGCCTTTCTAAAGCATCTTTACTATTGAAAATTGAGTGCATTGAATTATTCTGATCCAGAATCATTGAAATGAAGTTAAAGTCAAAAAAGTTACCTTTAGGTGCTGGTGTTTCAGTTTGTCTTCTTCTATTTTTAGACGCTTCTGTGAGATTTCTTCCTGTATTTTTCTTTTATCCTGAAATTTAAAAAAAAAGTTACAGAAAAGTCAGCTTTTAAAAAGATGTTTTGTTGGGGATAGTGCCATTATCTGCCATTCGGCCGGCAAGCATATGCTCATGATGTTGGAATGAGATGCTTTGGAAACTCATATTTCAAAGCAAAGGAAGGCAAAGGAGACTTCCATAGTGGTTTGCTACAGGAAACAATATGAAAGAAAATTTTTCCCCCTCAAGGGAACTTCAAATATTTTAATGTTTTATTTGCTTCTTCACTCTCCTTTTTGCATTTCCCTGTGAGCCTAGCAAGATTGTCCCACTGAGTGATGCTGTGGAGACTGTTTCCAGGAGGGAGTTCTAAGCGGGCTTGCAGTAGGAGTGTGGGAAGAGAGACTGCTTCTGGCATCACCATGAAGAAAGTGCCAGGTAAGAGGTCTGCTTGTGTGAACAACCAGGAGGGTTTACAGATGGTTACAAATCTAAGAGTTTGGAAAACGAGATGTTTGTTCCTTGTATAGCTGGCTGTAGACCGATAGGGCAAAAGAGTTTAGGTAATTTTTGAGCTGAGATTGAAAAAGAAAATCACGCAGAGATATACAGTACCTTTCATCAAGTTTGATAAAAGGAAGCAAGCAAATACTAAAATACTCAGAAATGGCAACTATTAACACACAGAGGTTGTATTTAGAAACTAGACAGCAGACAGTCTGTGTTTGATTTCTGGCTTCTTCATTTACTAGCTCTGTGTTCCTGAACGAAATCCTAACTTCACTATGCCTCAATTACCACATCTGTAAGATGTAGACTAAGAGTACTGATTCATTAGATGTGAGCATTACACGAGCTAATGTATATGAGAGTCCCTAGAACAGTGCTTGATGCATAGTGCTTTAGAAATGTACAGTACAATGACATAACAACCCAGTAACTTGTTAATCACACAGAAAAGAGCATGCTAATAGTGCTAGCAATTCCATTTATCTGAAATGTTTCAGCATTTCCCGGTCTGACTTATTTGAGGCATATGACAGACCATGCAAAAAAAGATTCTCATTTCCTCCTTTTTGATGAGAAATGACATGATCCTCTGCTTTATTCATAAGAGTTTGTTCGAAGTTTGCTTTCACAATTGAAAACTCAATAGATAAAATATTCTTGCCAACAAAGACGTATAACGGGGTTGGAAGCAGGCTTACACAGTTATTTAGAAGGAGGAGTTCCAAAAACATTTGGCAGTACTGTTGAAATAGTACACGGCTTCCTGATGTGATTCGTTGGAAGATGAAAAGTTTTTTGATATTTAAGTTCAGGTACATTTGTTGAAGAAAAAATAACATGTTATTTTCCAACTTTATGTCATGTTTCTGTTTGTGTATAAGAAGACTGTAGGAATTTGTTATTTTTAAAATTTCATAAAGAGTACTCTAGGAGAAAAAAACTAGATAGTCAACAAGCATGAGCCTTCAGAGTCACATCTTTGGCTTAAATGAAATCGCATCACTAGTGGCAAAAATGCTCAGAATTCTGTGACTCAGTTTCCACTGTAACTAGAAACTCTTGGTGAGCAAATATTAGTTATATTTTAAATTTATTGTGTCAGACATCATGGTAGGTATTTTATAGGCACTATTTCACTTAATAGCTATAGAAACAAAGAGAGCCAAAGCAATTTGCAATTTGCAAAGGAGCAAATGGAAATTTAGAGGGGTTGAACTCATTCAAGTTCTTACAGTTAGTGAGTAACAAGCCAGGATTTGAACGCAAGCAATCGGAGGTCAGTTTCCACACCCAGCTAGCTCATTCTACTGTTTCCTTGAGGGAGAGGTTAGCTAAGCAAGTCCTGACTGACTTCCCTCATTGTCCTTTCTGTGACGAAGTGCTGTGGCCTGGAGGCCTGTGCCAGTACAGCTACCCATAGGTGGGGCTTCCCGTTGGAAGGATGCGCGCCTGCTTTCCATCTGCACCAGGACACAGTTGTTCCCTGGTTGCAGTGTTGTGACTGTATAACCCCCTCCATGACTAGCTTATGGAGATGAGGCAATGAGTACATTACATATTGTGAACTTGGCTGCCAAAGCCAGAAGTACCTACTCATTCCTGCTGATTGTCATCTTGGGCTGGTTTTGCTTAGGGGTTAGTAATCAAACAGTGGAAACCATGAGTAGAGGCAGGGCACCTGGAGTGTTTTGACAATATTAGGCTGATGCAAGGTTGCTAAGGAATACTGACGTTTTGTGAATCAGAGATTATGTGATACCTCTTTTGTATCAATGTAGCTAGATAGGAAGGCAATTTTATAACATAGACACATGAATTTTTATCAAAGCATTAGTTATTTAAAATTCATCTTTATTTAATTTTGGAAGGCTTAAAGCAAGTTTTCATCCACATTCTCCAAGTATTTGCAAATGCTGGGGTTGGGTTGGGTGAAAGTCAGGAGTGTGAAACTAATCCAGGTTTCCCATGTGCTATCACTTACTGTTTCCTAGGGTGCAATTTTACAGAAAACTGGAATTAGAATAGCTGGGACTTACACCCAGGCACTCAAGTGGTATCTTAAATCACTGTGGCAGAGCCTGCTCCCAGGATTGATCTGAATTATTTATCAATTTATCTGATATCTAGCTGTTTGTGTATAAATGCTGTATTTGAGGTAACAGTAAGCATTTTTTAAATGTTAAAATTTTTTTATGTCGTAAATACTCAGGGACTTAGAGTTTTATAAAGAAAATCATTTGTGGAAGTGATTATAATCTGAGCAATAAGGTGATACATGTAATTACTAAAGTACGAGTAAGGTACTAAGAAGACCGAAGGGTGAAAGGGAGAACTTTCAGTTGGTGTGGTTAGGAGGGGCTTGGAGATGTATTCAAGTGTAGTGTGTCAGGTAGTTAGTTGGCAGCTGGGTAGTGGAGAGAAAGGATGTTCAATCAAAGGACTGATGTGAGCAAAAGCCGATTAGTAGAATATTGTAGTGCTTTTTGGAATGGCAAGTTTGTGATCCTAGCCACAAAACAGCAAATAGCATGGAATAAACCAAGAATATTAGGATGTGGGTAGCTTGTTAATGGAGAATGTTGAATGGCTTGACAAGGGATTTGGAAAAGAATGATATAATTAAAACCATTCTTGGACTCATTGTGCAGTAGACAATGAAGAGGAACATGAAGAGGATAATTAGAGTATTTCAGAAACTTGTATGTTAGGCCGTGAGCAAATTAGAAGCAGCACAGGGTGAGGATGTGAGAGAGCAAGCAGTTGGCATTGACAGGACTTGGACACTGATGACCTCTGCATGTATGAGAGAGAGAGGAAAAGGGAAAGGGAATATAGGGCCTTCATGCCCAGACAAGCGAACGGGGCGCAGACTCAGGACTAGGAAACTCAGGAGAAGATAGGTGGTTTTGGGGGGAAATGACAGATACACCTCACGTTTGAAGTAGCCTTGGAATGACTGGTGTAATTATCTGGTAGGCACTTGGAATGGTGGATGGAGAGACATGAGAAGATATGTTGGCGCTAAAGAAAAGCTGCAGGACTTTCGGAGGGAGAGGTGAAAGCATGAAGTAGGGGGAGATGTTTTTGTAAAAGGAAAGGAATGGGCCTTGCATGGTAGCTTTGCTGCTGAAGTCCTCATTTTGCACACGCTAGGATCCCATTTGGATGCCGGTTCTATTTCTGGCAGCCCCGCTTTCCATCCATCTCCCTGACTATGGCCTGGGAAAGCAGTTGAGGACAGCCCAAAGCCTTGGGACTCTGTCCCCATGTGGGAGACCCAGAAGAGGGCCCGGGCTCCTGGCTTCGGATTGGGGCAACTGTGGTCATTGCAGCCACTTGGGGAGTGAATCAGCAGACGGAAAATCTTCTCTGTGTCTCCTCCTCTATGTATATCTGATTTTGCAATAAAAATTAAAAAAGAAAAAGAAAGGAAAGTAATAAGGACGGATCCTTCAGGAAGCATCTACATTTAAAGGGTAAAGAAGGAAGGGAACTGACTTGGAAATTTATTTTGCGCCAGTGTGGCAAATTAGGAACATGACAGAAAGGAGCGATGGAAGGGTGTTTGTTTCACATAAACCCTATGAAGAGTCAATGATAGCAACAACCGCATCATGATGTCGCAGCTTGTAAGACATGCGGATAGTGATCATGTGCAAGACATTTTCCATACAAGAGCGAGATTGACTTGTTAACCAAGAAATTCAGCAGCCAAGCTGAGATTGGTAAGCAAATCTGTGTAATGGCCAATACTGGGCTCTTTTGGAATCGCCTCATTGTGTCACTTAAAGAAAGGAAGACATGATTTTGAGCGTTTGCACAAGGGCAAAAGTACATAAAATAGATGCCATCTTGCTATTACACCAGATTCTATCTGACCAGAAAGAGACTAGAGGTGGTGTTTTTCCTAAATGAAATGAAAAAAATTGGAAGCAATGACAAGAGAATTGATAGGTGAATGTTTCCAGATACATTCTGTTGGGAGCCATTATGTTATAATTTTATGACAAGCTTTCTTGATATATTCAGTGCTTAGGGTATGAGAAGAACAAGTAGCAACTGCTTATTTGAATGTATGACAGCTGTTTGTAATGGTGTAGATAAGGCAAACATCCAGGGTGACGTGAAACTGTGAAGTGCATGAAAAAACCTAGGAGGAGGCCAGAAGAAGCTGTGTGTGTGTGTGTGTGTGTGTGTGTGTGTGTGTGTGTGTGTGTTGACGTGAAAAGGCAAAAGCAGTCAGACTACTAGGGAGATACACATTGTCCTATTAAATCCATAGAAATAACTGGAACTTTTTCATGTCTCTGTTGTTCTGTACATTTGATTAGGAAGAACAATCTTAATGGTGGAAAGTTAAAGCAAATGTATCTACAGGGAAACTGATGCCTGACAGGACGTAGCAGAGAAGTCACAGCTATTCTAGTCTTTAACCTCTCATGGTTTGCATTTCATGAAGTTAAAAAAAATTAGAGATATCAAAGAATTGTTAACTATTTTTCTTGGAATCTTGGATGAATTG